GAGAGAGAGAAAGAGAGAGAAAGAGAGAAGGGGTGAAAGTATTTTCTTGAAATTGAGAAGGATAAAAACTGCAAATAAGGTTCAACTTAAAGGGTTAAAAATATAAATATTAAATATTATTTTCCAACGGGTTCATCTACAGGAATTCATAGCTACCAGTTAAATTGATTTGAAAATTTTCACTACTTTCAATATGGCTGTAAACGAACTGTTCGTAAACCGTTCGGCGGGAAGTTCGTTTATATTTGTTTATTTAATAAACGAACGACCATGAACACAAATTATTGTTCGTTTAGTTAAACGAACGAACATGAACAATGATCTCGTTTGTTCAATTATGTTCGTAAACGTTCGTTTATGTTTTTCGTTTACGTTCGTTCATATAAGTTCATTTTATGTTCACATATGCTTAACTGTGTTTGATTACATTAGTGTATTATATGTTCAATTATGTTTTTTTTTTTTTATCTTTGTTCATTTATGTTCATTTGTTTATGTTCGTTTAGCATGTTCACGAATATAAACGAACGAACATGAACAATGTAATTTGTTAAACGAACGAACATGAACAAGCTCAGTTCGTATTCGTTCGGTTCGTTTACAGTCCTAACTTTTGAAGACACTTTTACCAACCTTTTCGCAAAATTAATATTTCTATTGGCGTAAAATAAATCACATAAAAATATGTCACCTACCAAATAATAATTCCAATGGTAAGATTATAAAATGAGGGGGCAGTAATATCATATCCCAAAGATATAAAACTAATATTTTATATTGATTGGCCAAAGAAATATAGTAAATAAATAATGTTAAATGTTCTCGTCAGAAAAGTAATTATGACGGACGTAAAAGAAATATAAAAGTTGCAGTAAATAAATAATGTTAAATGTTCTCACCAGAAAAGTAATTATGACGGGCATATCACTCTCTTTTATTTTTATTTAAATATAATATTAAGTTATAATTTAATAACTATATAATATTTAATATAATAAAAAAGAAATATTTCATTTAATTCAATAATAAAAAACATTGTACAGATAAAAATAACAATTAAATAAAAAACAATATAAAAAAAAGTCTACTTACACACCGAGTACACCTCAACAATTATCGAGGTGATGTTGTGTCACCCCGTGTAGTCTTAGGTAATTAAGCTATAGACATACATGCATTCCATCCTTACATCTCAACCTCTCCCTAACGCACACCAATTTTCAAAGCGTTCATTCTCACATGTCCGCACTTTTCATTTTTCTTATTTAATTTATATATTTTAAAATAATCAAAATTAATTTATAAATGAAAATATGATATTGCATGGTTCTATTTGCAAAAAAGACAACATATTGCTTGCCCTCTAAAAAGCTAAGCCTTAATACAAGATTCAAGATAAAATATTTTTTAATCATCATAGTTTTAATTTAATATATAAAGAATACCATGGATTCAAATATGAAGAATTCCCCGACAATGTCCTTGAGCTTTATGATGTTGAGATGATTCAATTTCCACAGGGACTATGAGGAAAACAGGGAATTAGCTTTTAATTATGTTTTGTTTTATATTAATTTTAGAAAACAGCTGAATTAAATATTAATGAAAAAGAAACACAAAATACCTTAACTTGGTGCAAATTCATACATTCTCATACATAATACATTTTTCTTCATCTTTTCTTGATTGCAACCTGTGATATATTATATGATATAAATTAAAACTTACTTTTTTCCATGTGGTTTTATGTTTTATCATTTTGTTAAAGTGGTTGAAAGAACTAACAATTTCAGATGTCTCAAGGTTGATAACCTTTATATAGAAACTTGTTCTTAACCGACATAAAAAGAATAAACATATACCTGAACACGAACATGATGCTCTTAAATATATATGTGCCAAAAGAAACTTGTTCTGATTCTGATTCATATAATTATAAGCCTCCTTTCTTTCCTCATTTTCAAAACATTATGATCCTTTGCAGTTTTTCCTTATCAATTCCATCCATATACCTATGACCTATCAATATCAGTATATCACAACCCAAATAAACATGTAGCATCAGAAATATTAAACACCTCTCAACCTAAATGAATACAACAAGAAAGTTAACTTAATATTTGATAAGATTTTAACCTTTTATATGATTGCACAATCAACTTTGAAAAGTATAAACACAATACACAATACACAATACACCCTTCTTCAAACTTTATCAACATGAATCTGTTGTAAACTTCCAACTCACAATATCATGTTGAATATCTTCCAATCTCAGCAGCCTACACACAACAATGTCAGAAACAGATTTAATCTCATAATCTATATATATATATATATATATAT